ACGGTGTCCCGTTCGTAAAATTGATGTTCTACCCCCTAAAGAGTACCCCCATGTCCCCCCTACTTGCCAACCCCACCATAGCTCCCCCTTGCCATCATCTCCATTTCGCCGATTGGCTACAGTATATTTAAAGAAAATGTTTAAATGTATTAATGATTAATTATTGTCAATAATTTTATTATTTTACTTTTTTCTATGTATATATGAATTGTAATACTTTAAAATTATTAAATTTCTTGTAAAAATTATAAATTTAATTTAAATCAAATTTAAATTCAATTACACCAGAATATATAGATCAAATCTAATCAGATCAGATTCAATCACATCAGTCTAAAGAAATAATTTTATACTTTAATTACCCATGATTTCTTTGAAACCTACAAATGATGTTTATGATTTTTACGGATCTATGTTGAATCGCTAAAATTTAATAATAATCCTAAAAATGCACCTTTTGTGCCTTTTTTGTTCAAGTATTCCTTTTCTCTGTTCTATTGCATCTCTAGTTACATTCAATCATATCAGATCAGATCTAATCAGATCCAATCAAATCACATCGAATTTAATTAAATCAGAACTTCAAAAATTTAGGTCAAACCTCCATAACATAGCCTTAGTTCCGATCTCCGAATGAATGGTCTTGAAAGTTTAAGTAGAAGCAAAAAATAGATATTTTTTTTAAAACAACCAACTTTCATTAATACAACATAGAAACAACACAATCAAGGAACAAAATTCCAACCACCAATTTGGACTTCCACAATGAGATCCACCACTTTAAAAAATAGAAAATTTTAAGCATGCTTAAAATATTTTTGAAGCTCATTTTAGACTATCCAAATCATAATATATAAATAGAAATAGATTGACAAACTTAATAAAGTACATTTTTAATGAAGTAAACAATCAAAAATAGTTTTTTAACGCAACCTCAAACACTCTCAAACACATAAGATAATAAAAGAAACTATTTTTCGTCCCAAAAGAAATCTTTATAGTCCCATTTTTTATCAATGTACACTTAAATCACGGTTCTTTGATCTGGGCTATTTTGATCTTAAAATGACCCGAGTCACCTGTGATGCTCCGATCCATCACATTCCACGTTTTTCCCACTTCAACCCCGACTCCCTAAATCGACGATTTGAGTGGTATGAAGCTAGGAGAAGTAAAGAGATATGAACCATCAATTTTACTAAAGTACCATCATAAATACCCAACAATAATTATCCTCAGAGCATTTTTATGGCCAGTCAAAAGAACCTTGCCCAAATATTTATATGTTCACCATATATTGTAAAAAAAAAGTTTAGTTATAAAGAAATCGCCCAAATATTTATATGTTCACCATATATTGTGAAAAAAAAATGTTTAGTTATAAAGAAATCGCCTTAGGCCCTAGGACTGATCCTGCATGTCAAAACGTCCTTTTAGACCTATTTTGATCTACCAACATTACTCTACTTTTCATAATCATCTACTTTTCAAACAACTAACAAAATAAAAGATAACCTTATCTCCGAGGACACCTTAGAACTTGGCTGGATAATTACTGACAGGATGTATTCAATAGACTAAAATCGACCTGAATAATAAACTGTAAAGAAGAAAGAAAATTATGTTTTTTCCTCTTTTCTTCTCTATACATTAAATTATTATTTTTTAAATTCAACACAAATACAAATCTCTCTCTATCTATCATCTTTTTTTAAAAAATTATTATACAAGTATTTTATTTATTTTTTCACGAATGTAATTTTTTTATTTAATGAATTTTTTTTATTCAATGAATGTAATTTTTTTTATTGAATGAATGTAATTTTTTAATGAACTATTCTCGTTTTAATTCTTTTAAATAATTAAATAATTAAATTTTAATAGTTTAGTTTTAGAAGATGTGTATTTAAAATGTAAAAAAGAAGGTTTGAAGCCTTGTTTGAAGTCTCGGGGCTTCAAACACATTTCCACTGAAACTGCGAGGTAAGTTGAAAATGACGTGGCAGAGAGAAGGTTTGACAAGTAACACTCAATCACGAAATGCAAGAACACTGCACGTTTATGCATAATCCAGTGACTATCTATCCAATAACAAGTAACACCCATATAAGACAAATTATGATATGTTTCACTTCAAAATATTAGAACAAATAGTAACATGAGAATTAAAAGTGAGAAAAAAATTTGCTAAATTCATTTTTTCAACTTTATATTGTCTAATAATTTTTCTCTTAATTATTTTTCTTGAAAAACCTCTTGCTTGAGGGTTTAATGCAAGTTGACAATAATCAATAAATCCAAGTTTTTCAGAAAACATGTATGGCAAATTTTTTTCTTCAGAAATCATTTCGGCCATTTTTTGCTTATTTTTCTCGTCGCTATAAGCAAAAAGGCCGCTCTTATCCGTATTAGCAAACTGAGAAATTTGAGTTTGCACTTCTTGTCGTCCTTTCTTTTCGCCACGTATTTGGCATACTCCACGGGGTGCCTCGATTTTAGTTATTTTTCTGGACCACCATAATTCTCGGAAATTCCCATTTCTATGACGATTCCACAATATTTACAAGTTCCAAAATCTTTGGCATTTTTTGCTCTCTGGTGTAGGCTCCACGTCCATTTTTTTCTTCATCAATGTCCTCGAATATATCTTCAAGAGTTTGAAGATTGGCGTCCATCATACCTCCCAAATAATGTTCAAATTCTTGATCCGTCATAGCGTCGCCCACGAATTGATCAGGGATAGTAGGGAAGAAAGAGACGGAGTGTCTTCCTTGAGAACCACGTGAACTCGAACTGTCAGAGGTGGTTTTAGCTTTGCCTTTCCTCGAACATCGGTTTACAACGCCCATATCCACGGACCTTCTACCGGACTCTTTTGACCTTTTAATATATTTTTATTTTGATAAAAAAGGACCATATTAGATATTTAAAATATTAAATATATATTGAATTTCGAAATTATAATATTAATTTATAATAATGTAATATATTAGTAATATATGAATGTATGATTAAAAAATAATATGAGAATATATTTATATATTATATACGAAGTAATATATTAATATATATTTATATTATTATATGAATATAAAATGTATAAAGATTGAAGAGAGATAATAGAAAGAAAGGGATTGAGAAAAAAGAATTTGAGATTTGAGGGAGATTTGAGAGTGGTATTTTTAAAAAAATTAGGAGATTATTTATAGTGTACTTGTGTAACCCCCTCCCACTCAAACGGCTATAATGCCGTTGAGTGGGCCAATGGTGCTGCACGCCTGCAAAGCAAAAGAAAGAAAAGAAAAAAATAAAACGGTACCAGTACCAAAAAACTGATACTGGAACCGGTACTGTGTGGGACGGTTTCGGTACCAGTTCCCGGAACCGGATCACCATGCCCGTCGCCGGTGACTGTGGCGGTACCGGCGGTACAGGCGCCGGTAACGGTACTATACTGGACTACTGGTACTGTGTCCACCCCTAAAGTACTCATATACTTATTTGCTTGTTAATTATGCTTTGTCCTTATTTTTTTTTAAAAAAATTTATACTTTATTCTTGATTATAGATAAATAGAGGAAGTGATAGGGAGAGAGGATAGTGATGCTTAATGAATTTATAATAATAATGTTTTAAAAATAATTACTTTTAATTTTATTATATTATTTTTAGAGTTTTTGGTTAATTTCATAAGTAATAATTAATGTGAGGACAATGTATAGATTATTAAAATAATTCAAACGTATATATAAATAATTCATCTATCACAACCTTATAAATTATGTTAACAAAATACATTAAAATCTACGGTGGGGTTCTAGTAACATCGGAAAACGGTGCCACTGTGTTTTTGGGGCACCTCCAGTGCTCCGTTCATAAAATAGAGGTTTCTAACCCCCTAATCCACCCCTAAACCCCCACCCTACCCCACCCCTGCACCACCACCTCAACCCTGACTTAAGCCCCACAAAATGTGTGGCTATTATGCAAGGGTAGGGTGGGGGTTTAGGGGGTGGGTTATGGGTTATGAAGCGTTAATTTTACGAACGGAGCACCGAAAGTGCCCCAAAAACATAGTGGTACCAGAGTGACACTGTTTTCCAATGGCACTAGAACCGGACCGTAAAATCTATCTAATTCTGTAAAAATTTAAATAATCCATTGACTTTAAGCGGTTCAATAATATACTCCCTCCGTCCGGGAAAAAGCTTCCTACTTTGACTTTTCCTCATTTTTAGTGGAGGGTTGAATAAGAAATGAAATGACTAAATTACCCTTAATGAAGGAAAAAAAAGAACAGAAATAAGGGGCTGAACACATTGAAAGCAAGCAAAGTACACCAACTACACTATTTCAATCATTATCATACATCAAATCCATGATTACATAACAAAATTTAGGCATTCCCTCCAAATTTTGTTGGAATGCCGTCCAATACTTCCTCCAAATACATCAATTTTGAATCCATTTGCAGGCTATTTAACCCCCTCCCCAAGATTATTACAGTAACACTCAGCACTACTCCCATTTCTTCTCCATCTTTGTCTTCCTAATCTTTTCAACAATCCTTTCACATTCAGCTTTATTCCTCTTCCTTTTTTCATCCCGATGTCCAGGCGGCCTGCATATAACACCAAAAAATTAGACAATGTAACACGACAGGTTATAAGCGAGGCGTTACTTTCACATTCAAACGAAAACCCCGATGGTTCTTACTCAGCTCA